GTGTTTCTGAAAAAGGTTCGCAACCTTTCAGAACAGCCATAGCAGTTGGAACAGGTGGGAATATTGCGGGAAAATTAGAAAACGAATTTAAAATAATCCGGGAAAAATAACATACCGGACAGGGTCGCGGGTCATGGGTTATTCCAGATTGATTTTTGTTAATTAATTAAATAATTGAAAGGAATTTTATCCAAAAAGATTAATCAATCAATCGATCCAAATACGAATCTGAAGCGGAGCGAGCGACGACGACGACGGCTCGAGGCTTGCCTTCTTCTTAACTCTTTAAGAGCTAGAACAAGAGCAATTATATATATACCCATAAAAAGTCTTTTCTTCCTCAAATATGGGGACAACATCCCTTTGCCAAGGAGGAAAACTCAAATATCCTATTTAAGCTACACCAAGCTTAAAGCCCAACAACCCCGATATCAAAAAGTCCACTACCGGTCAAACTCTTCAAAATTCGACTTTCGCCACTTCAAGCCTAAATAAGCTACGTACCTCCAAAATACAATCGGGCACCCCTAGGCCCAAAATCACCCAACGGAGTATAGGAATGGACGAAACTCCATTCCAGAGTCATTTAGGAACTAAGTGTCTCAAAACACTCCTAAAACCAAAACGAAACCTCCCGACAAGTCACATAAGCAGAAAAGATATGGGAGAAGCAGTAAATAGAGAATCAAGGCTCTAACTCTCAAAACGACCAGCCGGGTCGTTACACATGCTCCACATCAAAGTTGCCAAATGCACATTCAAAATCTGTAACAAGATGATGGGGATAGAGAATCATCTGACGAAGAAGATGATCGAGAGAACTTGATCCAGCAAAACGAACGTGTAAATGACCATCCCAAATCTCCACTTCGCTCCACATTCCAAATTGACAACATCAAGGACCGATTTTCCTTTAATCGGCGTTTTAATTTCAGCTGACTAAGAGGTATTTCTTAGCAATTACTCGCCCAGTCTTAGTACTCATTCTTTATTACACTAACGACCAGGGCGGTCCGACGAATTTTGTGGCCTAAAGCCAAATTTTACGAGGGGCCTTAACTTTTTAATTCTTTTTGTTATTATTTATTTGAAGTCAATCTTTTTATAGCTTTTCTTAGATACAAAGTTATTAATAATTTTCTTATAACCAATAACTCCTAATAAGTATTTCTCAATTGACAATATAGCTAATTCATTTAAACTTTTTTGTGACATTGTTGTCTTAGCTAGGTAAGATCTTATCAATTTTAATTTTGAAAACTTCTTTCCGCTGAAACAACGGTAACATGAGTTATGAAGATTATTCCATAAACAATTTAGTCATTTGGAAAAAAAATTAAATCTTTTTATTTGATTAAGTATATCAATTAAACTGTTATCTTCTAATCTCACTATTTTTCTTAATACTTTAATTGAAAAAATAAATCAAAACCATCAATATCGAATTGATTATTATGCTTTAAGAATATTCAAGACTAAGGCAATATTTTTTTAAATTTTCAACATCTAATGAGTGGTTTTTGTTGCCAAATAGAAAACCAAAAATATTTTCTATGCTTCGAGTTGTTCAAATCTATTTTGAAGTGAAATAATAGTCTTGTCTATAATGTATAAAAGTAATCAACTTCAAAAGACTCTTTGAAAGATTTTTAGATTTCATTATCAACATTCGCATCAAATTGTTACTTCCTATATATCACACGTTTCTTACGAACTTCGGGCTCGATATTCATTTCAGTTGCAATTTGGTTGATAGAAATCGTAGCAGTTGCAAATCCTTCTTCTCTATATTTGTTAAAGAAAGAAATTAAACTTTTTCACTTTACAGAATTCTTTAATAGTCTATTAGGTGTAACAAAAAATGAGGTACCCACAAATTTGGGACCTAAAACGATTGTTTTATTCGCTTTATGAAAGGACGGTCCCTGCTACCGACATCAAAAGTCTATTTTAACCCACCGTTACTAATATTAAGTACAGTGCTTCCATCAATTCCATGTGTGAGTCCGAATTTAATATTGATTCCATCAACACTTACTCATTCTTTGATCTCTACAACTACTACTAATAAAGGTTAAATTAGTTTCACCTTCCCCTAAGAAATGAGGAAGCAAAAAAGAAGATGTGCCTCAGTCTTGAAAAAGGATAGCACTGTTTGTTGAAATCTCCACATATGATAGTTAATTTAAAAAAGTATGTTTCCTACATTAATTACTCATTGGTTATTGTCACTATTTTAAACTAATAAAGTTACAGAACCTATAGGGATATCATTTAAGAAGCTTCAGGAAACCACCGTTAGAAAATTTGTCCTTTCCGTTAGTTTTTAATTGAAAAAATACATAAGTTACCTATCAAATTTGTCCGGAAAAATTATTTATACACCTTAACTTTATGGGCGACCTATATCCCCCTTATTTTGGTTTAAGGTGAATTTAATATCACCCTAAATGGTGACGTGACAAAAACAGTAGTTTCACTATCCCAAACTCGCGTGTAAGAGGAAAAGATTCATTTCCTAAATTTAAGATTAAATGTAAAGGTCTAAGAGTTATGAAATTATTTGTGGAGAAGATAATTTACGCATAAACACCTGCATCAATATAATTTTACTGCAAAGAATTAAAAAGAAAAGAAGACAAAATATCTCACAACCAAGGGCGGTATCACAGGCCAAAGCTCAGACCACCAATCTAAGACCGCGTCGAAAGTCGATTTTTCGGGTGACTAAATGACTGTTTCAAAAGCTGTTTTTGGGTTGTATTGGACTGATTTTATGGGCAAGAGGGGCTGGTTTACCAGCTAGAACTGGCAGCATTTTGGATCATTTTTGCAACTGTTTTGGGGCTTAATTTTTTGGTCTGATTTTAATGTGTTTTGGAGCTGTAGATTGGTGATTTTGAGGGCTGATTTCAGCAGGTTTTGGGGAGGTTTCGGGACTGGAATTTGCTGCGATTTTCAGTATTTTAGAGTGATTTTAAAGGAAAAAAAACTGCTGGAATTTAGGGGTGTCTTGGAGCTGATATTTAGCTCTTTTCTAGTTTCCGCAGCTGATTTTGATACGATTTTGGGATGGATTTTGAGGTATTTTGGGGTGAGTTTTAGGTGCAAATTTTGGGGGTAAGTTGTGTGGG